TTAGAAAATGCACACAAAATAAACAATTATTGAAGGCTCTGTGTGGTCTCTCTTCTTAAAGTACAGGCGTCTGAATTCTACTTTTGGGAATAAATTAAGGAAGCTTAGCTCTAGTGGGACTGTAAGAGTTTGTTCAGTAGAAAATCTTCAGTAGACAGCTACAAGAGCTATGACCTCAAAGCCCAAAAAAAGATAAAAAAGTGTTGTATAAATGCTGACATTCTCTTCCGTAAAAGAAAGGCCTCTATGGCATGGCATTCTTGAAAATATAGGGGTTCCCTAAATTTAGTGAAGTTTCTTGAGACTGGCTTTCCATGGATGTCTTCTATTTCAAGCTTTTGTAGTGATAGTGGTGCAACCTGGGTAGAGACAAGGAAGAAAACTATTCACTCTGAGTTTCTATTCTTTCCTTTGAGGTTTTGGGGGTTGTCCCTAAACAATCCTCCAAGAGGGAATGAAGATTGCAAGGTGGAATTGTCAAGGTCTAAGTTCCCCTCGGACAGTTTGTTCAGCGAAGATGATCCTCAGTAAGGATAAACCTTTAATTTCTTTCTTATGGAAACTAAATGCAGTTTAGTAGAAGGCCGGAAAAAATCAAAAAAAGAAGAAGCTAAACTTATTAAGGGACTGGGGCTGTTGGGGTGTAGACCTGTGTGGCCTATCTAGGGGGCATGTGCCTTTCTGGTCTCCAAAGGTAAAACTCAAGGTCTTAGGGGCAAATAAAAATTTCATCAATACAGTGATCGCTAATGACTCTCAGGGGAATGGTTTTGTACTTTTATGGAAGCTTGGAAACATATTGCAAATAATAATAGGGGCCCATGGAGAAGTATTGGTGACTTATATCTCACTTTCTCCTATCAAGACAAAGCAAGAGGTAGACCGGAAAAACATTAGGTTTTACATAAAAACATCCAAGCAATCAAAGAAATGGATTTATCCATGATTCCCTCTTTTAGTCCTGGAATAACAAAAGGGAGGGGAGTGAAAATGTAAAAGAAAGGCTGGATCTAGCTTTAGGTAACAAGAACTAGATGATTCTCTATCCTCATGTAGTTGTGTTCTATCTCCCCCTTGGGGGATCTAACTATCTGTCTATACTCTTGACACATCCCCCGATTTAGGAAGAAGGAGAAGACCATTCAGATGTGAGGAAATGTGGAGTATTCATGAGGACTATACTAGGCCTGGATTATAGTAATGCACTAGGTATTGGATTAGGTTGTTTTTTATATGTCAATCAGTGAGATCCATTAAAGGTCAAAACCTGGATATATTGGGGCAGTCTAAGAATTCATCTGAGTGAGTGATCATAATGATAGTATTGACCCATTTGTCGGACAAAGTGAATGATAAGGTTTACACTCTCTTTGATTGAAACCTAATCTACCGGTAGGGAATTTCAACTCTGTTTGAAATCTGATTTTGTAAAATATATTTATGATATAATGTTTTATAAAAAATGTTTGCAAAAGGTTTTAATTCCCATAATCCATCAGAGCAGAGAGTGTGACATTGTACCTTGTAGCCAGAGGAGAGGTCCTTCATTGTCGGATTATGTTGTAATCATTATGGGCCAAAAAGTTAAGTGTAAGAGACCATTACATGACTGATTACCTAATGGGTATGTGAAGTCATTATGGGGTCTCATGCCATACAAATCAGGCCTAACTTGGCCATACAACATCTTGAGTCATGAGCCTTTGAAGTAATGGGCCTAAGGCTCATAATTAATAAGATTAAGTAAGCTATCACATGGCAACTTGCTTTGAGTCAAATATGGGTTTGGAAAAGGGTATGGAGCACCCATCATCTTAAGAGTGCTCCATAAGGAGATAAAGGAATAAGAGGGCAAACCAGACTAGAACACCACTCTCTCTTGTTCTCTTTTATTCTCTTTTATCTTCCAAAAAATCCTATCATGACCTAGGCTTTCAAGAATTGATTTAGATCAATTTTCTTTTTTACTTTTGCAAGAAAAACTCAGAAAAAAATCACTCACTTACCTCATTCGACTGACTTCACCTGCACACTACACCATCTTCAGTGGAGGCTAGTTTTATGACTGATTTGGGCATGAACTTCTACCTTGGGATCTATATATATGGAATCGTATCAGGTATACATCTCCCTATTTGTTTGGTTTCAAATATGGTCTGGTTTAGTGCAAAATCGATTTGGAAAATTCAATTTTCAAATTCATAGGGAAATCAGTTCTTGTAAGCGTTAGAAAATTTTTTGAAATTTTGTCAAACCATCTAACATAATTCGGCCATCCATATGATTAGACCTGCTCATGGGTCGAGCTCGGGCTTAGCTTTTGTCAAATTTCTAATGGGCCTGGCCTGAAGCCCAAGCCCGAGACAATGTAAAATTGGGCCCAAAGCCTGACTTGTGAACAGGTCTGCATATGATGGATTCTAAACCCTTCCAACATTTAAATCTTATATCAAGACACCACAAATAAATAAATTGATAAAATATAAATATAAATGGCAAAAAAATCGAGAATTGGTAAACGACGAGTAGTTCATAGCTAATAGTTTCTAAACTAAGCTAATGGGTTCTAATCTCTAGCGCTAGCATACATTAGTTCATATATGCAACGAGAAATAGTTAGTTGTGATTTCACTTGAACTAGGTTTCAAAATATTGGTCAATTTAGGGGTGCACTTGGGGCCGGCCCAACCCAAACCCTTAGGTAGCTTGAATCCAAGCCGATATTATCCCATCCCAAGCCCAATCCAAGCTCAACCCAATACACATTCGTATGCATGTATACAACCCGAGTGCATCAAATTTAGTGTGGGCTGAACCTAGGTTGAAAATATCAGGTTTTACCTTAAGCAAGATCTAGGCTCAGGCTTCAATCAAAACATGTTTTCATTTGATTATTCAAAATCATGTTTCATATATCATATACCATATAATTTTTATATTGAAAATTTTAATTTTGTTTTAAGAATCAATATTTTGTTGGTTTTAAAAACATGCATTATTTTTGAAACAAAAAATAATAATTTATTTTTTCCTTTTGAAAACAAAAATAGATTTCAAAAACATGTTTTTGTTTTTTTCATTGATGTAATGATTACAAAAACAAATGAAAACAATAACATTCATGATGTAGAATGCCCCCTAAGCGATCAGATGAATACATATTTCTGAAATCATAAATTCAAAAACATGTTTTTGTTTAGGAATGGTCAACATCTTAAGATTAGTAAAAACATGAAAGGTCATTGGCCTAGGTTTTTTATTCTAAAAATACCCCTAACAACTCTTACATCAACCTCTTAGAAACAAACCCTTGGGGGCAAAATCAATGTTCATATTTTTTTTTAAATTTCATTTTAATTAATTTAGTTGAATGGGATCTAAAAAATAATGTAATAACTAATATGTAGGGGTGCAAGTTAGGTAGGCTGGGCTGGATTTAAGCTCAAACCAAAACAACCTTAAGAATTGGGTTTCAGGCTGAACCGACTCGAGCATGTGGTCAAACCTTATTTGTCTAATTCGATCGTAGCTCGTACTAAAATTTGATGCATTTGGGTTGGCTTGAGCATGGACCAAGCCTAGGTTAATCAATCAACCCGTATTAAAATTTAACATAAATGCATATAGTTCTATGTGCATATGTGTATATACATGTACAAATAATGTATGTATATGTACATGCATGTTTGCATATAGTTTGAATTGGAATTGTTTTGGCTAGTGATTTTTGGGTCAGCGGTTCGACCATCTAGTTCAGAAGGACAACCCATTGCAATTTAAAAAAATAAAAAATAAAAAATAAAATAACTAAAACAAAAACAAATAAAAACCATTGTTCAAGTTGATTGGATTAATGGTTTGATCGCTTGGGTCAGCGGTTCACTAATCAAGTCAACAGTTTTTGACAAAAGACCGAATGAAATCAATTCAACCATTAACCAACTTTTTTTTTGTAATACCAACCAGCTTATAAATAAGGCCCATTTGGCCTTTAACAACCCTTAAGGCCCAACAATGCTCCATCTCCGCTCTTATTTATTTATTTATTTAAATATTATGTTTTAATATTATATATCAATAAAATAATATTTTTTAATATTTAAAAAATATATATTTTATTTTTTAATATTTAAAATATATATTTTTTTATTTTTTAATTATTTTAATATCATTTTTATTAAAATGAATATTTATTGGTTAATATTAATTTATCGATACCTTTTTCAATATATTTATCATATAAAATGCAAAAATTAGACATTAAATCATTCATAAAATGTATATGAGATACATTGAATAAAAAAGTGTGGTATGACTGCGCCTACAAATCGAATTGCCCACACTTTAGAACAATTGTGAATTACTAGGTATGTATTTGGTTCTTTTTATGTTTATTGAATAAACGTTTGTACTTTATTTACTAGTAAAACTGAGAAATACAATAATTGTAGCCGTTTATGACAAATAGGCACCACTTTAGCCTAACATTGAATAAGCACCTGACCGTTTGTGGAAACTTCAAAAAATAACTTCTACAAACGACTGACTGATATACATATAAACCAAATTTTACTTTTTACATTTTCTATATATGCAAAACAGCAAGAGAGATAAAGTATTGAGACGGCACCACCTATTTCGCACCATCCATAAGCATTCACTGAATAAACGTAAATGGAACCAAACACCCTCTACATTCTGGTGTGGACTGCAAAATTATACAACTTACATTTTTGGCAAATTATCTAACTTACATTTTTAACTAAATGTGGTAAAGGTCTTGGCGGTTCGGGTTCACTGTTGATTGTCTCTGTTGAAGTAAATTCTCCGTTTTGGCGTTTTAAAACTCTTTGCGCCGTTTGAGAGGTCTCACGAGTTATCCTCCGGTGTTCAGCATTACTTTTCTCTTGTTTCAGCATCGCGGAAGAGCGGTCAGACTCAGATACTTACTGCTCTGGATTCCAACTCCTAGCGATACATGAAAGTAGTTTATTTTGATTATGGCTTCAGGTTATCTTGCACGAAAGATGGCTCTGCTTCACCACCCGAAGCTCTCCCAAGCTCTGGATGCTTTCACCAACATGTCGGAATTTAAACAAACCCATGCCCACATTATAACCTCGGGTCTCTTCAAAGACATCTTTACCACAGCGAGGCTCTTAGCTTTTGCCGCCATCTCTGAATCTGGTAGCCTCAGTTACGCTGAAATTCTCTTCGACCAGATCAAACACCCTACTCTTTTCATGTACAATTCAATGATCAGAGGCTTCTCTCAAAGCACGAAACCCCTTGAGTCCCTTAAGTATTACGTTCGTATGCTCCGCGTTGGGATCTCACCGGATAACTTCACCTTCCCTTTTCTAATTCGATCGTGTTCGATCTCATCGCTCCTCTTTCAAGGGCAACTACTCCACGCCCATGCTATAAAATGTGGGTTGGTTTTTGATGTGTTCATCCTGAATAACATGATCAACATGTACGCAGCTTGTGGGGAATTGAATTCTGCTCGTCTTTTATTTGAAGAATGTTTTAGCATAGTTGATGTAGTATCTTGGACCACATTGGTTACTGGGTACTCGAATTCTGGAGATATTGATGTGGCCCGGGAGTTTTTTGATCAGATGCCATATAGAAACTTAGTCTCGTGGAACGCAGTGATTGCTGGGTATGCCCATTGTGGTAAAATTGAGGAAGCACGAAAGATGTTCGATGAGATGCCTGAACGAAATGTGGCCTCGTGGAGTACAATGATATCGGGGTATGCACAAAGTGGGTTTTGCAAAGAGGCTCTGGAGCTCTTTGGAGAAATGGTTGGAGCCAGAATCATTCCAAATGAGCCTGCGTTAGTTAGTACGGTGTCCGCTTGTGCACAACATAAGGAATTGGAAAAGGGTTTATTGGTTCACAATTATATAAAAGAACAGAAGTTTGATATTAATGTGACCCTAGGAACAGCTCTTGTGGACATGTATGGTAAGTGCGGGAGCATTGAGAAGGCACTTGAGGTTTTCAGTGAGATGCCAATAAAAAATGTCTTATCATGGAACTCCATGATTGCTGGCCTGTCTATGAATGGATGCGGAAAGCAAGCAATGTCACTTTTCTGGCGGATGCAGATGATTGGCCCTACACCAAATGCCATAACCTTCATTGGTGTGCTAAGTGGATGTAGCCACTCAGGATTAGTTGATGAAGGTCGTTACATTTTTAATCTAATGACTCAAAAATACCATATTAAACCTCAATTAGAGCACTATGGATGCATCGTTGACCTACTTGGAAGAGCTGGTCTCATTAAGGAAGCTTTGGATTTTATAGATGGGATGCCAGTTCAGCCACATGCTGGCTTATGGGGTGCCCTTGTTGGTGCATGTAGTATTCATGGAGATGTCAAACTTGGTGAAGAAGTAGGAAAGCACCTCATTGAGTTAGAGCCTCATCATAGTGGGAGATATGTTCTTTTGTCAAACATATTTGCAGCTGCAAAGAGGTGGGATGATGCTGCCATGGTTAGGAATTTGTTGAAGGAGAGACGAGTATTTAAGACTGCGGGAAGTAGCATGGTAGAAACATGGTCCTAAGTCACAGCAGACTGAAAGTTATTTCTTGCTAGTTCCTGGTCCACCTCTAATGAACCGGGGGACAAATTGTACTTGAATCAGATTGTGACAATGAGATGAAGCTGAGCAGTGCGTGTTCAGAATGGTTGGAAAGCATCATCCACCATTTTCCACCAGTGAGAATTTTGGCAAAAAGTCAACCAAATCAGATGACACTTAACATAATAACTGTCAAGTTGCACTGGAGGTCAGAGAAAAAACATGAGACCAACCAAAAAATGTGAAATTTGAAGAGTGTATGATAACAAATTAGTGGAACAAACCACATAATAGGCTCCAACCTCATGTGTGTTGGAGTGATGATGACACGAGGGATAATTTACTGTCTAATTTTCTTGATAGAACTACAAACAAGGAAATGATGCCAATGGACGATTTGCTACAGCCAAAACCAGTTAGAATGGAAGGAGATGGATCAAGAGGAGAGATCTGCTGCTCCATCTCCAGTTGTGTAATCTGGGAACTTAATTTACATATAGGGGGTCCAAGTATCCAATTTGAAGGTTTTACACTATATTGGGCTTGAATTTTCAGGCCGAGCCCATTCAAATTTTGGTACAATCGCAACCAAACCCACTGAGGTTGCACCCCTATTTACATGGCATGCTATACATGTAGGACTTGGGCACTGTCATTGTGCAACAGGGCAATTTACTGTTATTACAGCTCACATGCTGAATAAAAAACTGTTTGGAAGTGTGAACCAGATCAGAGAAATGGATGGGATTGTTTATCTATGACATACTGCCTTAATAAATTTTCCAAAGCTCAGTGCAAAACAGTAGAAAGTCTGGAATTATCATTCCTATGAGATATGCCTAAGGAAAGACAGAGGAAGGTAATGGCTCAAGTAGGGCTGCAACTTGCAAGTCAATTAGATAATGATCCAGTTTGATTTAAAATCTGATCCATTTAAGCTGGGCTCGAATATCCTATAATGTGTGTGAAGGCTAAAAAATAAATGCACTTAACACACGTTTCAATGCCCATTCTAGAAAAGTAGTACCCCTATTAAGAACAGAGAAGGAATCCCTCTTGATAGTTGACTCTTTCCTCTGAAGAGATGCTGCCAGTAAGAACAGAGAAGGAATCCCACTTGAACTTGCAAAGACAGTGGAAAAATGGAAGCTATCTTAGACTGTTGCTGAAAGAAAACCTACCTTGGGTTATTGTTGCCTTGTAAATGGAATAATTGGTGTTCTTAATAAAGAGTTTGGAAGATATTTCACAGATATCATTTATGAAGGATAAGACATGGCTACATGAGAGCAATGAGTTGAGAAGCAAAGGATTTTAGTTTTATTTTTTGTATTTTAGAAACAAATGCGTCAGACCAAGGATTGAACTCTTTGAGTACTTTTCTTAATTGTTTCTTTTGACAACATGTTTTTTCTTTTTTCTTTTTTTTTTGTGATTTTAAAGAGAAATCAATTCCATTGCTTGTAGAATAATCATTATGAACCCTATGTTTTTTTGTTTTGAAAATATTTGTAGATTTTTCCACTATTTGATCCCTTATTCTTAAAAATAATTAAAAATTATTTAGGTTTGTTATGGTTTGTGTTTTATAATCCAGAGGATGAAGAGCAGAAAGATTGCATTCTGAGTTAGATTGCTATAACATGCCTTTACAACCCAATTTTTTTTTTATCAGTCCATCTAAAAATAGTTCTCAAACACCATGGCAGACATAATGGTGAAGTTGGACAGCAATGGGAAACACTGCAACAGTCTAGACTGAAGTAGCGAAGTTACACTATTCTCTGTTTGTTTTGCAACTCGTCAAGGTTAGGCCACCAAGCTTCCAACTTTCCATTCCAAGCCTTCCCTAAGATTTCTACAAAGCCCAGTCTTGGCCAAATTGTATATATGATATATCTAACTAATACATCTTTAACTAAATATGTTTAAGTATTGATAGCTATGCATATCAGAACAGTATATATGTGGTAATGGTTTTGGAGGTTCGTGTTCAGTGTTGATTGTCTCCGTTGTTGGAGGAAGTAAGTTCTCCATTTTGGCATTTTAAAACTCTTTGCGCCCTTTGCAGAGGTCTCACGAGCTTCCCTCCCGGTGCTCAGTATTACTTTAATCTGTGTTTTGTCTCATTTGGCATACTTTTTACTGTTATAAGGCATAGAATTAGAGTTCAAAACTCCAAATATATATGTTATAACTTATTATATAAGGTGAAAATAAAGTGTCATGTAGTGGTTAAAAGGAATCAAACACACATCTCACAGTAAGAGGAAACAACTATCAAACCATATGGCCTATTATATCAATTTGTTTTGTTTAAGACGTGTAATAAATATAAGATAATAAGACCTTCGCCCTACTTCTTTCTTGAATTACGAATTAAAATGTTCCTATTCCAAATAGGCCATTACCATTTTCAGGTTAAACATGTAAGTAATTGTAGGGAAATTATTGGAGAGAATATGGTAAGAAAATTGGTAAGAAGCTAGTATGTAGTTGTGGGGCCCAAATGTGCACTGGCTCGGGCATGCGCACGCGGCGGGCTGTGTGCGTGCGCGAGCGACGGCTGCGTGAACTACTACGTGTGGGTGTGTTCCCTTTTGATTCCAAGCAACCCCCATTCTCCAAAATTATTTTTCAATTTTTGGTAATCTTTAGTGATTAAAAACTAAAATTTTTCTCAAAAAAATTATTTTAATTAATTTTATCATTTTTCAATCCTAACTAATGCCATGTATCAGGTGTAAGACTATGACTTTTTGATGAATGAATTTGCCTTTTAGCTTCAAAAATTAGGGGGAAAAAAGTAATATCGGGCAATCATGTTTGGGCCTTAAGGGTTGTTAAAGGCCAAATGGGCCTTATATTAGCCCAACAACCTAGCCTATTGGATCGGATGGGTCAGCAAGTCTGGTCATGTGCATCCTGTATGTATGATGTGTTGACTATTGAGAGCGATGCCAATTGAAGTTGGTGTGTATGGGTGTTGAGTAGATCCCAATCTGACGACAAGAAAATATCCATCCATATGGAGAACCATCACTGAATCCAAGTCCCTTTCTGCAACTTGAAGAGCTCCCTACCCTCACTATTTCGCTCCATCTCATTTATAGATTATAGTACCTTGGCTTGAAGAGTAAGAAAACTCCGACTCCGAGACTTATATAAAACGAAAACCTTCGTTGTTGAAGAAGAAAGAAGAGAGAGCAAACAACGTGAATATAAAGGAGAGGAACCGTTTATTCCTTTGCTTCTTCAAAGATGTTCAGAAATCAGTACGATACAGACGTCACGACATGGAGTCCAGCAGGTCGACTTTTTCAGGTGGAGTATGCAATGGAGGCCGTGAAACAAGGCTCGGCCGCAATTGGTCTCCGATCGAAGACTCATGCCGTTCTGGCAAGCGTTAACAAAGCCAATTCGGAGCTTTCGTCGCACCAGAAGAAGATTTTCAAGATCGACGATCACATTGGCATCGCTATTGCCGGCCTCACCGCCGATGGTAGAGTCCTCTCGAGATATCTCAGATCCGAATGCATCAATTACAGCTTCACTTACGAGTCTCCTCTTCCGGTTGGGAGACTCGTAGTTCAGCTAGCCGACAAGGCGCAGGTGCGTCGAGAAGAACCCTAATTGTTTTGAAAATGTCTCTACTTTTCTTTTCTTTTCATGGTTGAGTTAAAAATGATAAATGGAAGGTTATAACCGTGATTTGGTATAGTATTAATGGATGGAGGGCTTGCGGTTTAGGAGTGGGGATGGAGTAGATATGCATATTCTTTTTCTTCCCTTTTTCTCCCTTAGGGGTTTTGGGTTGGAATCTGTGCGGATGAAATTGAAGGAAACCTTAGAAAATTATGGCCTTCAAATAAGATTTGGTTTCTATCCCTTCATTGTCAGCGGACGGAATTGTGTATGATCTCTGTGACCGATTACGACAACGTTGTCAGATCATTTAAATGAAAAAATTAGGTTTTATGCAAGAAGTAGCAAATGTGGGGTTTTACTAGGTTAGGATTTTAGGGTGAGGGTTAGGGGAACTTGAGAGCGAAAAATATATGGAATACGAGGCTTTTGCATCCTTTTAATTCTCTCTTTTTCTTTATCGCGTCTATGTGGTGAGTGGTTGGAGTTTGTTTGATGCTTTAAGGTGATTTTTGGTATCAATGGTTGTTGGATATCTGATACCTCGGATTATCTAGGTAGCTTCCATTTTGTTTTGTTTTTTTTTTTTTCAATGGGTGTTTGCCTCCTACTAGTTGCATGCTGTTTTGATATATACTGGTTGTTTATTTCTTTTCTAAAATTTTCCAGGTTGTTGGCGTTTCTTATCTTCCTGTTAGTCTTTTTTTTTCTCTTATAATTAATGTCCTAGAAAGAGAGCAATGGTGAAACAGGATTGATGTACTTGCCCCAAGTTCTCGTAACAATGTTGATCAGCCATATTTTTGTGATGTTTGAAAAACTGTGTCAGGATGTCAGCAGACCCCATAGTGTGCATCTATGTTTTGGTTTTATTTTCGTTGTGGGGATATAATTGGCATGGAAATTCCCTTGTTAGAGAATTACTGTTACTTCCCATGAAAATATAGATACTTGTGGTTGCCCTATTTGCGCATATTGGGTTTCTATGAGGATTTATACCTGATATGGGTAACAAATAATTTTTATCATTATATCCCTCCGCAATACTTTTTTTTTTTTTTTTGAGAAAAGTTAACCAAGACATTAGTAAAAAAAGAGGTACATGAGAAGATGTACAAAGCAGGGGGAGAACCCCCACAGATTACAAAAGAGGAAGCTTGTCGCTATATATTTTCTCTAAGAAGACACCACATTTAGCTAAGCCATCTGCTGTATGATTGTATTCCCTAGGAATCCAAACTAACTTTACATTTAGGTAGTCCAAAGTGTCCCTGGCCTCTTCTAAATAGTGACTTAATCTCCAAGGTCCCCCCTCTTTGTCTCTTAACCATTTTATAGTATTTGCTGAATCACCTGCAATGGTTATATTTTGAATTCCCAAACTTTTTATTATTCTGATTCTTCTGAGGGCAGCCATTACTTCAGCCTTTGTGGGATCGCTGAAAGTCCAACAGATGTTGCCTCTTTCATCCCTTAATGTTCCTCCAATACCAGCTAATCTAGGATTACCTAAAGCACTTCCATCAAAGTTTAATATCACCACACCTTCACTGATGGGTTTGGGAGATCTCAAGGGTGGTTGATGGAGGTGAGGGAGAAATAAAAAAGGGTAAGCATCTCTATTGAGGTCATTGACTGAGACTCCTCTGAAAAGATCTGAATTCACCGTCCAGAAGTTGCATAGGTAAGAGATGTCTGAAATTAACTCCTCCAGGGGCCTTGATTTGTTGTCAAAAAGCCTTTTGTTTCTTTCATCCCAAACACCCCACAACACTACATGTAACACTCAGTAAATTTTACCCCTCTTACTTAAACCTGTTCCTTGCCACTGATGTAGAAAGTCCTTAACATGCGCTTTGGTATAGCTCAACTGTAACCTGCCATTTTCAAAAAATGGAACCAAATCTTTTGGGCAAATTTGCAGTGAAGGAAAATGTGATCTGCTGATTCTCCTTCACTGAGGCATAAAAAACAAACATGAGGGGAGATAGACAATCTTCCCAAAAACTTTTTTTGCAAGAGATCACAAGTGTTAACTTTCTGGAGGCAAGCTTCCCAGACAAAGAAACAAACACTTGAGGGGATGTGGCTGCACTAGATCTTCTTAAAAGGAAAGGGGGGATGATGATCATCAGTAATTAAAGCTTTGAACATAGACTTGGAAGAGAATTCGTCAGTGGGGGGCAGGGTCCAGATTCGGGTGTCAGACTTGGAGGGGGAGATGTAAGCTTTTTTAAGGGTCTGAATTAAGGTTATTAATTCAGAAATTTCCAAATCCCTTAGGGGTCTTCCGAGTTGAAGGTTTAGGGTGTTCTCAACAGTTTGGTTTGGAAGGCAGGCAGAAATAGTGGCTTCTTGGTCAAGGGTAAGGGTAAAAAGTCTAGGGAAGGAGGCAACAAGGGTAGATTCCCCCCACCAAAGGTCTTTCAGAATTTTATTTTTGAGCCATTTCCTACTTTATATCTTATAAAAGGAAAGAAAGAAGAATAGATGGAGATGATACCTTTCCATGGATTTGTGGATTTTATCCTGTTCAAATGGAGATTGCTATCCCACCCGTTTACATTTGATCCGTATTTGCTTGAGATGACAGCAGTCCAAAGAGCATGGGTTCTTTAGGGAACCTCCACAGCCATTTACCTAAGAGAGAAGAATTTTTCTCTTTTAAGTTTCCAATTCCCAAGCCACCTTCCTCTTTAGGCTTGCAAACTTGTTTCCAACTGACTAAGTGACTCCTCTTTTCCCCACCTCCTTCCCAAAGAAAGTTCCTTTGGAGCTTCTCGATCTGATTTCTGATTTTGGTTGGAATCTGGAAAGTTGAAAGGAAGTAGACTGGCATATTTGCTAAGGAGGCCTTCAAGAGAGTAAGTCTTCCCCCTTTTGAGAGATAGCACTTCTTCCAAGCTGAAAGTTTCTTCTCACATTTTCCCACCACTGGTCTCTAGAAATTGAGAGGTTTTGGATTCCCTCCAAGAGGCATCCCAAGATATGAGATAGGAAGACTCTCCTCTTTACACCCCAACAAAGATTTGAAGCTCTCCAAGAGTTTGACTTCCACAGAGTTAAGAGCAACTATAGAACTTTTGCAGAAGTTGACCCTCAAACCAGTGACACTTTCAAAGCATTCAATTAACCCTTTTAGTGTTTGTGATGTTGGTTATGGAGGCATCCAAGAACAAAATTATGTCACCAGCAAACTATAAATGTGAGATATGAATCTTGTTCCTTCCCACTTCGAAACCTTTCACCAAGTTAAAGAGCATTGCCTTATTGAAAAGGTAGTTAAAGATATCCATTACTAAAGTGAACAGAAAGGGGGAGAGCGGGCAACCTTGTCTGAGACCCCTACTAGCCTTAAAGTAGCCTTTTGCTTCACCATTTATCAACACTGAAAACCATGAAGAACCAATGCAACCCTTAATCCACCTGATCCATCTGCTACCAAAACCTCACATCTTTAGGCAATCGAGGATATAGTCCCAATCCACTTTATCATACACCTTTTCTAGATCTAATTTCACCAGGGTCCTTGAATTCCCAATGGATTTTCTGTCTTCCACACACTCGTTTGCAATTAGAATGCTGTCCACGATTTGTCTCCCTTTAACAAAGGCAAATTGATTTGGGGAAATTAGTTATTCAAGGACTTCTTTAAGTCTATTGGCCAAGACATTAGCCAAAATTTTATAGATGCTCCCTATCAAACTTATTGGCCTAAAGTCATTAGCTTCCAAGACTCCTCCTTTCTTTGGGATGAGACAGAGAAAGGTTGAGTTAAGGCCTTTGTTAACAATGGCCGAAGAATGGGATTCCCTGAAAAAATCCATAAGATCTGACTTTACTATTTCCCAACACTGCTGGAAGAAAGAGATGGGAAAACCATCCAGTCCCGGAGCCCTATCTCCATCCATGCTGAAGACAGAATTTTTAACTTCTTCCTCTTCAAAGCTTCTTTCCAACCAAACCCTTTTTTCAGCTGATAAAGTTGTGCCTTCCCATCTACTCAATGTAAATTGGTTATTACTATCCTTGGAGTAAAGGTTATTGAAAAAGGAGAGGAAGGCTTCCTTAATTTCCTCGGGATTCTCCTCTTCCCTCTGGTTCACTTTCAGCTTGGAATGAAGTTTTTCCTACTTCCTGAGGCATAAGTGTGAAAAAAGTTGGAGTTATTGTCTCCTTGTTTCAGCCATTTCACTCTTGATCTTTGTCTCCAGTAAATCTCTTCTCTTCTGATAAGTTGTTCCCATTCCTTTTTCAAATCTGCTCTTCTACTTCTGTTTAGAGCATCTAGGGTCCCATTTTGTTCTTTGCTATCCAGCTCCTCTAATTCTGTAAGAACTCTTTTCTTCTCTTCTTCAACAGTTTTGGATACCTCTCTCCCCCAAGCTTTCAGGTTTCTCTCTAGAGCTCTTAATTTCTGTAGGAGCCTAAAGCTAGCCCAACCCTCTACTTTGCAATCTTCCCACCATTCTGCAACCTTTTTGTTGAAACCTTTGTGATATAACCAGAATTTTTCCAGTCTAAAAGGGGTATTTCTTCTAATGATTCTTCAGTGTTTAGCAAAATAGGCCAGTGGTCTTAAGTACATCTGGGGCGAAGTTCTTGGAGGGAGAGTTGGGGCCATATGCTCCGGTAAGAATCCAACTAAAATCATCTTTTAAGTTTGTGAACAAGATCGAGACTGAGAACTCTCCTTTGTCAATCTCCAAACCTGAGATTTCGTCTTCCTTCCAAGTTAGGATGATTCCCCCACTGGAACCCACTATTGGAACAGCAGTTCATTTTCTACCCCTTATTCCCCAAATTGCTTTCATAAGTTTCCTGTCAATAATTTCCTTTTTAGATTCCTGAAGAGTAATTATATCTGGGTTTTCTCTTTTCAAAGTTTCTTTCACTAAGCTTCTTTTGATCTGCCCTCCTAAACTCTGACATTCCAGCTTAATATCTTCATTTAGTCACTCTACCAG